GCTCGATATTGATTATGACCCAACCACTCTACTAGTAGCTGAAGATGATTTGTGCCAAAGCTTACCTTTATATAATCTATGCCTTTTTGTATGAAACGTTTGATAAAACTATGCTGATAACCAGAAATATTAAAATATAGACTTGGTTTATATATGATTTCTTGATAAATAAATGACTGAATGTCTTGAAAATGTATCGCTACATAGAAAACTAGTCTGTAGTGTGAACTATCCAAAGTTAGCAGTCTTTACAAACCCCCCCCCCTTATACTACTAATAATAATCATGTCATTCCCGATAAATTCCTACAGTTAGCTCAAACAGTTCCAAAGAGAAACAGTGATCAATTAAGTTCAACCACATTGGGTTTGAGGCAGTTAGTTACTGACCAATAGATGACAACGAAACAGCAAATATTGACTGAAGCTAGATATGTAAACCATTACACTCCGACTGATGATCTAAAATTAAAAGCATTACGTGTTCAAAAATTGTGTCAAATATGAAAATAGGCCTTCATAGCTATAGGACTTGAGAATCTAAAACGATCAATGTACTCTATGTCTTCAAAACGCGCATACAATAATATCCAAGTAAAGTCATTCATTTCACTTCATTGTTTTAAGGTAAAGGAATATCTCGATTTATGCTTCATTTTGTTGGGAGCTCAACTGCGCCTTCCTGCGGCCTCGGTGGTGTTCGTGTAGCATTAAGTTCTAGGGGACAGAACTAGATCTCTTAAACTGGATCCCAATAGACGGTCGTTTATATGCTGCACGACTAAACGAAACAGTAAGAACTTGGAAAGATAGGGCCACTCAATATTGCCTCTTCCTTGACTCTACCTAAGTTCCAGTTGATTATTGTTCAGATGAGGTTAAAGGTGAAGTAGCCAAACATGTCGACCGCTTCACATATCTTGGGAGTCTGCTCAGTCCTGATGAACTGGTGTATGACGAAATCTCAGTACGTATACAGAAGGCTCGAGTGGCTTTTTCCAACTAGTATCACTTGTGACGTAGGTGAGATATCCGTCTGCTAACCGAAAAAAGAGTTTACTGCGCAGCATTTCGGTTTGCTTTAGTTTATGGGCGGGAAACAGCCAAAAAATAAACGATATTCGTAGGTTACTAGTATTCGATCATAGGTGTCTTCGAAGCATTGCTTGCATAGCCAGTGGAGGTGGCTGGGACATGTGTTACGTGTGCCCGACCACCGACTGCCACGACAAGCGGTATTATGTGGTTTGAGTAGGCTAGGAGAGAGCTAGGGACGGCCAGACTAAAACATGGCAGAAATCCATATGGTCACTGACAACTGTACTGAGTCATGTTAGTAGGTGCAGACTACTACCTGGTTGGGGTCCGTGCGATGATAGTAATCAGTGTTTAGAGACTTTGAATAATATGTTTCAAAATCGTTTGCAATGGCACGAATGCATTCATTCTCTGTCCTCTCTCAACTTCTTCTGAATTCCTGATGGCCGATTTTTTCCTTTTGTTAAATATATTTCACTGGAATATACTTCTCAAATCATATCTTCGGTCCCTAATCATCTTCGATACTGCTAATACTGTCACAACCTCTACTACTATGGGATTTGAATTGACAACTCGATCTTTGTGTGCTAATTCGATATGGCACCTTTGACTGATGGGCACACGTACCAAGTTCTACGCTACAGCTAACTGACTGACTCATTGCAAGACCTGAAGTTTATTAATTATTTACTTACATAAATAATTATGAGTATATGTATGTACCAAACTAATCAATAAATTTTCGTTCGGACTAGGGCACTGTTTGGCTACACAAGCTTAAGCACGTTGCTTTCTTATGGCACCATTCCTCGAACCCTCGAACTAGAGGTTCAATCCACAAGGTAATGAAGTAAAGTCAGGAAATTCAGTCTCATGACACTCGTTCACCAGCAATATGTATATATGCGCCAGTTGTCCTTTCAGGACCATAAGGACGATGTGCACCGATGGTGTGGAATCAAACTTTCCCAACTATCCTATATGGATCCTCCGCTCCCGACAACTCGGTATGAGTCAAACATTCGCTTTCTGTTATCTCAATTTCGTCAACAACACCCTTGCCGTGAGAAGGTAGAGCAGAACTTGCCTAACAGCGACTATGTGAGAATATTTTGAGAGTAAGAGCGGATTCTCTCCACTGTCCGGCATACCAGGGCATTCGGGAGCAGGAGTTTGAAAGTCCCAAGATCGATCTGAAAACAATTTTTCAATGTGCACTATTGATTAAAGACATGTGAACGTGAAATAGCCGTCCTATATTGATTGGTTTTTATTATTAGTTGTTTAAGATCAATGCGTAAACTATGCAATCTATAAAATGTTCTCTTCATTAATCAATATAAATACCACAGTAAAACTAAACTTATTTATTTTAAAGCAATGAAAGAGGTCATTGAAAGAAAGTAAGAGTGAATGAATAAAGTAAAGAATAATTATTAGTAAGAAGTATATGGAAGGAAATATTCAACATACAAATTTCTAGCTAAAGACAACTCACATATAACGTTCTTTTTGTAATAAAAAAAAATATCGCTAGTGATTTAAAGCATTAAATCTTTTGTTCAATATCTTAAATTTTTTATTGATTTTTAAATCCAAGATCATAATATTAATCTACTATTAAATTGACAGTGACTGATGTTGGAAATAATTATTCTATGAAAAAAAGTTCTTGAGCTAACACACACTGTAATAATAATAATAATAATAATAATAATAATCCGTATACTTGGAAAAGTATAACTCTAACCATACAGATAAGAAAACTTTAGTTTCGCAAAGACATGACCAGTGGAGTTCAGCCTTGTCGGGCGTAGACAGTGTCACCTACCAAAGACAAATGGGTGAGGTCGCGCAAAATTAGTAGATTGATTAGAGTTAGACATCAACACCGATGAAAACCAGCTCAGTGGTCTAAAGGTTAGGCGTTCGCGCTCAGGACTGGAGTCCCTAGGTTCGAACCCTGAGAGGTGCGAGAGTCGTGGATGCGCACTGCCACTGATGAGTCCCATACCAAGATGAAACGGCTGTCCAGCGCTTCCAAGTTTCTAATAGTGGTCTAACTATGATTGTTTCATGATTTCAGTAACATAATTTATACTATAATTAATTTCGTTGTGAATACATAAAAATAGTGTCGTTTTCTAGAAATCTACACTTACATTTTTCACATAAATCCATCATAAGATATTTCATGGCTTAATAATCTACAGAACTCGTACTAACACTTAAGTTCGATGATCAGTTATTGACATGGATCTGTTGTGATGGGATTTTCATGCATTTTTATGCAATAAACATCCCCGACGTAAAACGTCAGTCAGATGTAACGTAGAACTTCGTACGTAAATACATCAGTTTATGTCGCCATACCACATCAACACAGAGATATAATTGTCAATTCAAATCCAATAGTACTAGAGGTAGTTAAAGGTATTAGAAGTAATCGGAGAGGTTAGGATTAGAAGATATTATTTAAGAAGTATGATTCAGTGAGATAAGTTTAGAAAGTCAAAACTAGAGGTGTTGAAGAATCCAGAAGATTGAAATTTGAGAGAACACAGAGAATAAATGCACCGGCGCCATTGCAAACGGTTTTGAGTCATGTCATTCAAGGTATCTAACCATCGATTATTATCATCTCGCGGACCCCAACCAGGTAGTCGACAATTACCGACATGGTTCAGTCCACTCGTCAATGACTTCATGGACTGATGCCATGTTTTGGTTTGGCCGCCCCTAGCTCTCTTCCAACCTATTCCTACACTACAAAAAGTCAATTTTTAATTTATCACAGTGTCTGGTGTTACCATATAAGTACACCAAAAAAATGCAATTGTCATTATACAATTATTGTAAAACAACACTATAATATATCACATTGAAATCATGAATCAATCATTGTTAGACCACCATTAGAAACCTGGAAGTACTGGACAACTGTTTCGTCCTAGTATGGGACTCTTCATCAGTGTGCATCCACGACATCTGCTAGTGGGAATCGGACCTAGGATGTTTGGTTTTGCTCTCGAACGCCTGATCTGCAGACCATTACTGAAAAGTCCAATACTAGGACGAAACGGCCGTCCAGTGCTTACAGGTCGTCTAACAATGATTGATTCATGATTCCAACGTAAAAACAACAATCTCCAAAACTCCATAATAAAAAAACTACAATATATGTAAATTTAATTATTTTGCATTGTAGAGGTTTTGTGAAAACTGTTTACACTGTTGGTTGATCTTAGTTAAATAATCATTGAAAATAAAAAGATTCAATGGATAATTGTTTTTAGTCCTAACACGAAACTGTTCAGTCGCTAACACCGATTGATCATCTCTTAGGATTAAATCCAAGAATTTCAAGTCTTGAGGCGAACGTTTAAACATTAGACTATAATGTTGGAGACATTAGATCCCCAAAACTCGCTTGATAAATGCCTTAATTTTGGATTTCATGTGTTGCGAGCATGGGCTGATCGGTTGACCTTGACATTTCATTTCCCACCAGGAAAATCTCCTTGGCTGTGATTGGCTACTGTGTATTTTAGTGTGCTATTTTTGTGACTCTCCCACAAGGACGTTTCTGTGATGTATAAATAAACGAGATTTGTGTACTTGATTGCATTGTGCTTGCTGGGTGTTTGTACAATATATACTTTCTACGCTATATCAAGACTTCTCTTTAGTCAACAGATCAGGGTAGCCTACCTGGACTCTGGTTCATTGTCTCGTTCGCGTTTATCCACTAAGGTGAACACGTAATAGTTTCAAGCATACTTAATGACAAACTGAACAACTAATGAACCAGCATTATAGATGCACATTGTTCAAGAGTTTTATGCTACTTGGAGAATCATCTTTCAATATTAATCTCTAATAAAGATTAGTTAATGATGTAAACTATGGAATTAAATTCTGTTTTTATTTTTAAGAGAAAAAAAAAAGAGTAACACATACCATTTCACATCATCTGTATGCTCTAAATAATGTCGTTGACATTGTTCTTCAATATTGTACAAGACTACAACAGCTGCAACAAAATAAATTAATTCTCCAGTTGGAAGATAATGTAAATTATTTCGACAATCACGTCCACGATAACCATAACTAAATGGAGATGATGATGACGACGACGGTGATGGCATAACGAATAATTAAGGTGAATAGTTCAGTACAAGAAACAAGAAAGCTAACAATTTTCACAGACCTTCTACTCGAGTAAGCATTGATAATTCTATGTTCACAAGTGATTGAATTCGACTAAAATTCCCCCAAGTATGAATGAGATATTTTAACTGGTAAAGTTTCAGATGTTCTATAAAGGTATAACCACTGAAAATAGTTTATGGTTGTGTAATATTTTAAGCTATGAATAATTCCATGTCAACTTAATGGTCTACAGATATCGTGTCCTTGAGGTGTTAAGATAGATTATTGGCGGGTACGTCAAACTGCACTCCCCACTGCCAAGAAGTCATATGTTTCAGTCCTCCTTAGCTTTTGATAGCTATTTCGCTTAAGTCAGTCTGTAATGTAAAAATGTATAAAATAAGCCATGATTGAGCTGCATAGAAAAGTAAAACTATGTACGATATAGTATGATATGACATCGCTGTGTTATATACTTTGTAAGATTGACTCGTTTCAGTGAGGTCTGTAGACTGACAACTTATCTAACTTGCATTCACATATATTACTAGTAACGTTTAAATAATGAAAGTACTGGAAGGCCTTTTCCTTTTGGCATAGGACTCTTTAGCAGTGCGCATCCACGACTCCTGCTACACACAGGATTCGAACACAGAACCTTCGGTCTTGAACACGAATGCTTAACCCCTGGAGCATTGAACTAGCAGGCATCCAAAGGCGTTAATGTCTAACTTTGATCAAACTAAGGATTTTGACAGACACCACCCATTCTCTTCGGTAGCTGATGCCTACACCCGGGTAGGGTCGAACTCCACTGATCACGTGTGAGCATATTTTATGATTTTTCATGATAGAGTTATGATTGATTCACGATTTCAGTGTAAAACAACAATCTCCATAAATCTATAGGAAAAATTCATATCAGTAAATAAATATAATTTCTTAATAAGCATAATTAAAATATATTTTTTTAAAAAGATAATTTGTTAAAATCCACATAAAAGGATACATCCATTCTAATTTTAATGTTGTATTAGGTGCTTTCAATGGAACTGACAAATCATAACTTTGCATAATTTGTGTTGGCATATACACACTGACAGGACGTCCACGAATATAAAAGCGTAGAATTCCATCACCTACATAAAAAAAAATTTTAAAAACTAATATTATCAAATAAAATAGAATGAAAAGAGAAGTAAATACAATGGGAACGGTAGTAGAGGTATTAACAGTAATCGTAAAGAGATTAGGGTTCGAAGATATTACACAAGAAGTAGAATCTAGTGAAATAAACTTAAAAAAGTGAAAGATATAGGTGATGAAGAATTCAGAAGATTAGGATTTGATAGAACACAAAGAATAAGTGCACCTGCGCCACTGCAACCGATTTTGAACCATGTCGTTCAAGGTCTCTAACCATCTATTATTATCTTCTCGTGGGCCCCAACCAGGTAGTCGACAACTACCGACATGACTCAGTCCACTTGTCAATGACTTCATGGATTGATGCCATGTTTTGATTTGGCCGCCCCTAGCTATCTTTCAAACTACTCCTACACTAGAAAAACATAGCTCGTCGAGGCCAGTTGGTGGTTAGGCATACGCAGCACATGTCCCAACCACCTCAACTGATGAAGTTTCACAACTTCATCCATTGATCTGCCATCCTTACCTAGGACCCGTTTCCTAACGACAGCATTGCTTACTCGATTGTCCCATGATACATGAGCAATGCTTCGGAGACACCTATGATCGAAAACCAGTAACCTACGAATATCTACTACTCTCACTGGCCATGTTTCACAGCCATAGAGTAGGATGGAACGAACTACTGCAAACTATACTCGTCCTTTACTCAGCAAACGGATATCTCGCTTGCGCCGTAAGTAACGCAGGTTGGCAAAAGCCAATCAAGCCTTTTATATCCGTGCTGAGATTTCGTCAGTCACCAAGCTATCAGCAATGATGAAACTCACAAGATAAGTAAAGCGATACATGGAAAATCTATGTCGAGCTGCGATATAGCTAACCTGTTGAAAGAGTACTTTAAGCGAAAAGTGTACTCCAGTTTAGATTTTTTTTGAGTGAGAGAGAACTGATGCTTTTAATGAGGAAGATACAAACTCACGATGCTCGATGTGAAAAGACAGTAACATGGCCACCGTGACTGACCTATTTTAAGACTAAAATATTACACTGATTTATCACTGAGTAGTAACCAATGTTATGCCTGCTTAGTCCTTAGTTTTACTAGTTTTTAAAATGCTAACTACACACCTAATTAGTTTTAGTGCTTCAACTTACTACCGTATTTCTAAAGCTGTAGTAGACATGTCTAGATCAATCTTTCCATATGGAACTAATAACCGTGTTGGTAAACAGTACTTTTGTCGCATTTTTCTGCTCGATATGATAAGAGTAAGTGAGTGAGTTTCAAGAGGATTCAATTTTGCGTCTCCGATCACAGTGGTCAGTGAAAGAAACGAACATTCATGATGAACAATTTTGATAGCATGAAAAAGACATATCAAAGTAAATGGAAAACTTATTCATACATGTAAAAGTACAATAACTAATTAAATTATACATATGGGGAGTCGGATCCAGGTGCAACAGTGGCTTAATGATTGTGACAGTAGACTTCCAACCGAAACAGTTGTAGGTATGCAACCAACTCAGTGTATGTTCGCTTAGTTATTCAGGTAGTCATAGTGTAGTGAACGAGAACACAAGTGGGGGGCAAACGAATTGTATTTAACGAAAATTACAGAGTTACTCAGTAAAATCAGAAACCATATCGTAAATCGTTTATTTGCAAAATATCAGTCCATCCTATCGAACTGGACTGTTCCTGTTGCCAAACATCAATCCATTGTCACTATTCATGCGTTTCATACAAATTCCATTGTTTTCTAACTCTTCCTTTCTTGATCTTTCCCCATCTTCCACTGCCAGACATTAAGTTGACACTCACGTCATATACTACTTATAAGTAGCTCACACCACAATAGTATTATTAGCCCTTCTACACACACATATATATATAAAAAGTATACCTTGAAGCCAAAGTAATAAGCCTTGATAAATCGATTGCATTTTTTCAAAAAAATTTACAACGAAACAAATAAACCAAAAAAAAATACTACTGATTACCTGGTAGATAAGTAGTTTCTTTGGAGCTGAAAGATTTATAGGGCAAAAAAATAAAAACATGTCAGTCAATTTTTTAAGCGAATGAAATATTAGAAAAACTGCAAACAAGTGATGAACACCGAAAAATTAAAAAAAAATAGTGTTACGTGTTTATACATAACGTATCTCTCTCTCTGCCTCTCTCTCTGCATCTCTCTCTGCCTCTCTCTTTATTAGTGCAATAAATATGTGAAAACCACCAGTGTATTAATAAAGTGTCAAACATTTAGTGTTATTACATTTTATGTACAATATATTGTGAATAAGGGATTAAGAATTGTTCTCAACGAAATTTTTCAAAAAAAAATAAAAGGTGAAACTGTGTTAGAGTCATAAAATGAAATTGTAACTTAAAATCAAAAAAAAAAATTACGAGTACCGAACTAAAAGTGACTTAAGAGAGATCACACCAAATCATATAACATAATATGATATAATAATATGTGTATATAGCTTGAACTTGCTCATCATCATGATGAAATTTCGATAGATATGTAGGCTGTTTGTTGTGAATTGGTGGAATCAACTCTCGATTTGTATGACATATTGCTACTCCACCAGGTTTCCAAGCTGTCGGATGAAGTGAACGACCAGTTGTTGATGGTGGATGAACAGAACGATCATCTGAATCAGTTGTATAATGTGCTATTGTTGATGATGGTCCTGATGAAGGACCACGACCACGACGAACAAGATTTGGTGGTATACATAATGAGGATGGTGGAAGAGCGGGAGGTGGTGGCGGTGGAGGAGGAGCGACTGTATGATTTTTTCGAAATGATGATAAATGTTGTGCTTGTTGACCTGGAGGACTTTGACAATGATTCATTCGATAAATATCATCTAATTCACCATCATAGGCTGATTTCCAAAATACTGTATAACTACCACCACTACCACCATTAACACCACCAGATGGTCCATTAGAACAAGAAGCTTCATAATATCGTGATGATGTATTAGATTTTAAAGTGGATGATTTTTGTTGATAATTATTGCTAGTCATTGGTTCACTTTGTTGTGACATAATCAACATCATCATCATATCATCGTGATTATTATCTTCATACATAGACACTGTTTTATTATCACGATCATATTTATAATTGTGTCTATCGTCGGAACTAGCACTAGTAATCCGATTTCGTCTAATTAATAATTTAATAATAAATATAAATTTTTACATAGACTACTTAACATTGAACTTAAACATTGAACATTGAATTAAAAAAAGGAGTTTCAAAATCTAATAGATGTTTAGATAATTTAATCAATTATTATCGATAATAATATTAATATCTTTACAGAAATATATGACTCAATTGTTATGCTAGTCACCACTGGTTGATATGCTTGAATAGTTATTACGAGTTCACCTTAGTCAGTAAACGAGAACGATGATAAATGATCCAGTGACATGATAGGTTACTCTCATCTGAGCGTCTCAAGATCCCACTAAGTCAGTCAGATGCAACGTAAAACTTCGTACGTAAGTACAAAAATTCATGTTGCCATACCACATCAGAACAGAGATGTAATTGTCAATTCAAATCCAATAGTAGTAGAGGTAGTCAAGATATGAGAGGTAATCGGAGAGGTTAGGATTAGAAGATATTATTCAAGAAGTATAATTCAGTGAGATAAGTTTAGAAAGTCAAAACTAGAGGTATTGAAGAATCCAGAAGATTATGATTTGAGAGAACACAAAGAATAAATGCACCGGCGCCATTGCGAACGATTTTGAGCCATGTCATTTAAAGTCTCTAACCATCGATTATTATCATCTCGCGGACACCAACCAGGTAGTCGACAGTTACCGACATGGCTCAGTCCACTCGTCAATGACTTCATGGATTTGTGCCATGTTTTGGTCTGGCCGCCCCTAGATTTCTTCCAACCTATGCCTGCACTACAAAACAAAGCTTGTCGAGGCATTCGGTGATTAGGCATACATGTCCCAACCACCGCAACTGATGAAGTTTCATTACTTCATCTATTGATCTGCCATTCTTACCCAGCACCCGTTTCCTAATAACAGCTTTGCTCACTCGGGTGTCCCAGGGGATACAAGCAATGCTTCGAAGACACCTATGATGGAAAACCAGCCCCACTAAGTTGAACGTTCGCACGCAAGACCGAAGATCCCGAGTTCGAGTCCTGCTGCGAGGGTCGTTGATGTGCGCTATGCAGAAAAGTCTCACACCAGAACGGAGAAATACAACATTTAAGAAATTATTCAATATCAAGAAACAGTGAAATTACTGTTAGGCACTCTTCTTAAAGAATATTTGTAGATATACTAACACAAAATACCTGTACATATTTTTCTAGTCTCACTAAGTAATCAGAGTAAATATTGTGAAATCATGTATAGATAATTAATCACGTGTCCAGTAACGTGAAACATACATTTATATTGGTATGATTATAAACTTACAATATTATACTTTTTAAATAAACCTTTATCATCTGGTGGAAAATGAATTTTAAAGGATAACCAAGTATCAATTGACTAAAGTAGTTTTAGTGTGCACATCACCATTGGGAACACTGTCAAGTCCCATCACATGGGATGAGACACGTCTACTTAATTCCATTGCTATGCACATACTAACGCTAACACTTCTACTACCTCTATTACTATGGGATTTGAACTGACAATTGCATCTGTCTGTGCTAATGTGGTATGGCAACATGAACTTATGTACGTACGTACAAAGTTCTACGTTGTAACTGACTGACTGTCTGACAGACTACGCACTGACCCACTTTATTCAAATACTTGTGGCTTAATGACAATATCAGGATAGTGCACTCAAGATGTATGTATACCAAACGAGACTGTGCAGTTGGAGGCAGACCTTAACATCAGCGATGCGAAAATGGAAACCTTTAAAGATAGTGATAAACCAGTTTTCAATGTTAATTACTGACTGTCCCACTACTAATGATTAAAACTGTATAGTAAACGATAAAAATGAACAGGACGAAGCATAGAAAAGTAAGCAAATTAATTGAGAGTCTTTACTGATGTTGTAATTACTATTATCATAAAGAACTTGTGGCTGAAATCATAAACTGGCTTTAAACTAAACAATCAATAAAAACACTACAGGGCATGCAGGTAAGGGACAATCTAAAAGTTTACAGGTGATGCCTTCCTTACATTAGTAGTAAAGGGCTTTAACAATCCTATCCACGACACGAAGACGTGGATTTGTACTCCTAAGGAGTAACATACTTGGACAGGACAGTTATGTAGTATGCTCCTTGTGAAGGTGTTTTGTTCTCTGAGCTCAGAGAACAAAACACCTTCACAATCATCCACCTGAGCTACAAGTTTTCTCCACCATCTCAGTATGCTCCCTGGTTTTATTGGTTATCTATAGCTAGTCACTCTATGATGTCAATCAGTATTATTATTAACAATACACACCACGGTAATTTTTATACCTCTTCTATTGATTTCTTAACATAAATTGCAATTCTCTAAAGAACAAATAAGTTGGCCATTAAGATTTTAATGTTAAAATAAAGTTACATAAAAACTAAGTATACTATATAAAAGATTCTGAAATGACTTTGTCGATTGTCGACAAGATTTCAGCGCAGATACAGAAGGCTCGAATGGTTTTTGACAACTTGCATCATTTATGGCGTAAGCAAGATATCCGTCTGCTAACCAAAGGATGGGTTGACTGTACAGCAGTTCGCTCTGTCCTGCTTTATGGCTGTGAAACATGGTCAATAACAGTAGAAGATATTCGTAAGTTAATGTTTTTCGATCATAGGTGTCTTCGAAGCATTGCTCATTTATCTTGGGAATATTGTGTAAGCAATGCAGTTGTCAGGAAAGGGGTATTAGATAAGGATGACAGATCAAGAGATGGAGTAGTGAAATTCCATCAGTTGAGGTGATTGAGATATGCGTTACGAATGTCCAATCACTGAATGCCTTGACGAGTGATGTTTTGTGGTGTAGGAGTAGGTTGGAAGAAAGCTAGGAGCAGCCAAACCAAAACATGGCACAAATCCATAAAGCTATGTTGGTAAATGTCGACTACTGGACTGAGCCGTGTTAGTAGTAGGTGCAGACTACCTGGCTGGAGTTCGCAAGATGATACTAATCGATGGTTCTAGACACTGAATGATATGGCTCAAAATCGTTAGCAATCGTGCGGATGCATCCATTTTTTGTACTCTCTCAAATCCTAATCTTCTGAATTCGTCATCACCTCTTTCTTTCTCTCTCTAAATTTATCTCACTGAATTATACTTCTTGAATAATATGTTCGAACCCTAGTCTTCTCTATTACTGCTAATACTCCTACTATTTCTGTCACAATGGATTTGAACTAACAATATCGTCTCAGTGCTAATCTGGTATGACAACCTGAACTTATGTGAGTATGTACGAAATTCTACATTGTTACTGATCGACTGACTTATTGTAGCTATAAAAACTACCTTTTTGAATGAATCAATAAATGAAACTCATTTTTCAGGTACTAGTTTATGTATTCTGACTTGACCAACGCATTTAAATGATGTGACTTAAGTTGAAAACCATAGAGGATTGGAAGGAAGATTGATAAACTGTTTTTTCTTTGTATAGAACTCCTATTAAGCGTGCATCCACAACTTTATCCATGATTGAACTTAAAGCCTTCAAATTATTTTTTTCACAATTGTACAAATTAACCCTCTATTGGCAAGGGTAATTTTACATTGGTTTTCATGAGAACCAAGGAAACTGCTCACATGTTAACATGTCAACGTGAACAGTTCGACTCAATCCCGTGATACAACCGCCACAAAGGTACCTGACACCCTGATGGACTATTCATACCATTTATATACACTAGTAAATAGATAGACATTATTTCCGATTCATGATCACGTTAATCAATATGCAAAGCATAAACAAGCCAATTCGACCCATCCCACTTAGATGACTGTCAAACTCATTGTTACTATCAGCAATAGTGATATGCAATACAGCACTCCAATGACAATGGCCCTCGAGAATGTTACAAAATCAAATCGGTCACCCTGGTAACTAAATTTGTATATAGACTGTTAGCAATACTTACTAACGCAATGCTAACCCATCCACAATGTTCACAGTGAACTTCTAGTCTCATAGGAAACCTTCAGCTCCATTTAACAACAGTATAACATATGATATACACATAGTATAGCATAAGATAGCAAGAAATCCAACCTAGCTTGATGCGAATATGCTCAAACATTCTTTTATTACCCTCTGTCTCATATCCGGGTAATGATTGCTTCGCAATACCGAACATTTCATTTATCGACCGTATGAGACCTCCTGAGTTAGGGGGGTAGTATACCTTCAAGACCTGGTGTCAAATGGATAACCTTTAAAACTACAAATATAATCAGTAATGGTTTGTTATGATAATTTCAGATGAACCCCACTAGTGATGACTTCTTACTAGAACTTACTCACCAAGAAGCACACATACCTACGAAATATAAACATAAGTTCTTACGTAGACACACACACACACGTACAAAATTTCTACAGAACGAACAGATAATCAATTGATCCCAAACAGAAATGACTAAATTCTATTAATAAACTATTGAACAACAGAATAATAATAATAATAATAATAACTAAACACACACACACAAAGGAAAAATGCACTAACCTTATTTGATTTGCTGCACCACTAACACCAAGTGCATGATTATTTAAAGTAGTTGATGATGAACTTAAACGTGTGCTCTGCGGGCTTTTTAAACGAGTTCTTGCTGTGGTACTACTAGCTGTTGTTGTTGTTGTTGAATGTGGAACTACCAATGAACTGTCACGTGAATTTTTCGACTGATGACCAGTAGTTGTAGCAGTATGATTACGAGAACTTGCATGTCTTCGTGAATAGGATGTATCAGTACGTGAATTAGTTTTTGTCACATTGGAGCCTATGGACAAATAATAATAATAATAATAATAATAATAATAATAATAATAATAATAATAGTTACGCTATGGGGAGAAAAGGGAATATTAGGCAAAAGAATATTTTTAAAGCTAACAAATGAGTGGAATGATGTGAATTTATGTTGAAAAATAAACAGGACAATGATGCCCAGTGTGTTAAGCAATACATTGTGGTGTAGCAGTTTACACATATAGCATTATATCACAATATGCATATATATAGATAGATATGAATGACAATAGTTTACATGCATAGTCTACATGCATAACACACCATACACTTGAAGAAAATGTATGAATAAATTGAATTTGCATTTAAAACAAATTATCCTTTTATAACATATGAATCATAGGAGGTGCAGGAGTCGTCCATGCGCACTGCCACTGATGAGTCCCATACCAGGAAGAAAAGGCCATCCAGTGCTTCCAGGTTTCCTAATGGTGGTCTGACAATGATTGACTGATGATTTCAATGTGTAAAAACACTAATCTCCATAATTCTAATTAAAAATATCGTAATATGTGTCCACTAGTGACTAGCTTCATGAGGAAATTCTTGGAGTCCTTGTGAGAACACGTGACCAATGGAGTTCAGCCCTATCGAGCGTAGGCAGTAACTACCAAAGACAAATGGTTAAGATCGCGCGAAATCCCTAGGTTGATCAGAGTTAGACATTAACACCGTTAGATGCCGGTCCAGTGGTCCGATGGTTAGGCATTCGCGCACAAGACCGAAGGTCCTGGGTTCGAATCCTGCGGGTTGCAGGAGGAGTCGTGGATGCGCACTGCCACTGATGAGTCCCATACCAGGACTTGACGGCTGTCCAGTGCTTCCAGGTTTCCTAATGGTGATCTAACAATGATTGATTGATGATTTCGAATGTGTAAAAACACTAATCTCCATAACTCTAATTGAGAATAGTGATCAAATGAACAAAATGGATCTCAGACATACATACACACACACGTACAAATAGCATTTTCATTTTCTCAATAGACAAATTAAGTATACTTAAAAAAAACACCAACAAGTGTGAATGCATAAAAGAGAAAAATGAAACAGGAACAAACTCTGTGAACAAGAGGTAGCAACAACAAAAAATTTTTAAGCAGCCACAAATATCTACAGATACTAGATGCTAGTGAGCAATAATAATAATAATAATCGTTTCGGCTACTGTTATAAGAAGAGAGATTATCAGAACAATGTGATACATATTACCGCAATAGAGCAGTAAGATTTTTTTTTCTCTCGGACAACCAGCATCTGCAGCAATGCTACCTTTTTCACAACGGAAGAAAGGAGTTAGGAAAGGTCAACCCTACAAATGTTACATCTCATCTTACCCCACGGATTTCTGTCTCATGCGGTTAAGCTTTTTAAAAACAGTGAAGCTAACACATTACAAACTTTGCATAAAACGGTATTAGCGTGACCGGCCTCAAGCAATTGTCACTTGGACTCTGCAGTTACGCTCCCAAGTCTCTAAGACCAGCACTAATCAATCTTCCTCTTCAGGTTCCTCGTGAAATACCCACGGTTTTGGCAACCCCATAACCGTAACAGCACGAGATTCAAGACAATTTGAACACCATCTAAATATATTCCTATTGCTGGCTATACATGCAAACTAAACTTTACACAAAATCATATAAAGTTACATTCACGATTATGATTAATTAGCCTGTCTTTACACTTTTGTCATGACTTTGATAGACAGGTAAGGCATACATTCATTAAAATGCTAAAAATAGTAGGTTAACGAATAACATAATTAAGCTTTTATTGTATAATCTGTATGATGTGAAATATATGTGAAGTAATGTATCTACCCATGAGCTCTATACATGTACAAAAAGTCAATCTTATAAATGAAATAGAAAAAATAAATACTTGTCACTAGAGAGAGAAATTAAAAATAGGTCTGTTTTATATGTTTAGATGTGCAATAATCAACTGGTCAGGTGTTTAGTCAATAATTTTTTTGTTGACAAAAATCTACTCAATGTGCATTATTTTAAAGTATCATTCACATATCACATACAAATTAGTATATTTGACACGGGCACATACTTTAAATGTGAAAGCTAGTGGATACAAGTAAAAGTACATTATCATGTACTTGGTTTCAAATTATGCGTTAAGTGTCAGAGCTACATCATATACTATCCAGTTATACAGACAGAAGTATTTGGAGATAGGTTCGAACCGGAAATTTGATGACTGAGAGTAGAACGTCTTAAACACTTAATCATCGATTCATAAAATTGTTACGCCTGCATGTAAACACATCAACTTGATATACTTGAACTATTACGAGTTTACCTAGTCGGAAAACGAGAGCGAGGATCGAGGATCCGGTGACACGACATACTACTCAAATCCGATTATCCCAGTCCCCCATATTTAGTAAAAAATAAGAAGACATGATATGAAGTAGAATCTGTATTCTACAAGCATCCAGAAAGTACGAGGTCCGAATCCAGAAGAGAATCGGGATCCCGGACTAGGGATCCGGGACCGGGTCCTGGTCCTTGTCGTAGTCATAAAACGTTACGCATAATGCGTATTTATACATTTTGGTCGAACAGGAAACAACATCGAAGTCTGTGGCATTGACAGTTAGGACGACCAATAGGAAGTAACATTTGAAGTGACATTGATAGTCAGGACAACCAATAAGAAACAACATTGGAGTATGTGACATTGATATCTAGGACGACCATAAAATTGACCAGTAGGAATTAACCAGTAGAAATTAGACTTACAAATAATTCTCTTAGGATATTGGATGAATATCCTAAAAAAATCAAACTCGGATTAACTAAGGTAGAGTTTAAATCTCATTGATCCTTTAAATGAAGGATAGATATTTCATGACTACCAAAATCGCTACTCAATTAAGCAGCATTTTTTACGCGAATAACCAACAGTAAGAAGCAGAAAGAACTAAGTTACCACGTAACATATAGGTTTTAAGTAACTCCGCCAGTAGAACCTTCGGGGCTACTGCCGGTCCCAAGCCCGGATAAAGGAAGAGGGTTGGGCATGGGGTTGGCGACCCCATCCTGTCAAAAACTAACTTGCCAAAAAAACGCTAACCAGAAAAAATAATTCACGCTAAAATAAGTTTTAAGTAGGTTACTTCAGAAAAAACAATCCGTGCATATAATTAATTGATCAGTGAATATTGATCAATGTTATGCTTGATGGATTCTTTGGTATTAACCAAATTCTGTTGATCTAATTGTACTAGTTTGAGTGACTTGAGATTGTACGCACTGTGTTAAAATTTTAAGTGGTTGAAAGGAATCAGCACTGAAAGATTAAGCAGGTATGATACTAGTAAATGATCAAACAATTGTAAATACATCGGTTCTACGACAAGGATAGATAGCAGTAATAACCCGAATAGCACAGTGGCAATGTCCTAAACTGTGAATTTGGATGATACAAGTTAAAATCCTACAAGTAGCATTAGTTCCATCGAGATCAGGGATACATTTCACGTTTGAGTAGTCCCAACCAATATCAAACTTAGCTTGAAAGGGGGTTTCTCAACAAATACCTACAATTATAGAGCAATCCTCTTCTACTAAACAGACATTCGATCCTTGCATAAGTCATCAAGAAAGAAAAAAAAACCCGTTTCACTATTTCGCCTACTAGGTGTAAGTGAATACAACAAATAAGGACGTTGTTCATAGTTCATAGGTTGACCTTAGCTATTGAAAACCAGGAAGTATTGGAAAACTATTTCGATCTAGCGTAGGACCTCATCGGGTAAGAAGCAGTGACTAGTAGAGTTTAACAATGCTAAATGTGTAAGGTGATTGGTTGTTAACCATCGATCATCCCATTCAAAGCTGACTACTGTATAATACAACGAACTGGTTGAACGTCCAACCTGTTGGTCCGCAGTGATGATAATAACTTGCATGAACTGCTCAAAAGCCCGATATACATATACATACACATATACATATACACATATATATAGGATTATCACAACATTGAATATTGCCAACGGAGTAGTAGCAAATCACCAGCTTGACATACAAAAATAAAACATTCAATGGGATGAATCTACTATGCTTGCTTGAAAATTGTATGCAATAAAAATTTTTAACAGCCATATATATATTTTTTTTTCCAATGAATATTTAATAAAATAATCTATCATGCATGCATGATGACATTTGAGTGTGCAAGTTGAGAAGAAAGAAAAAAAAAACTAAGCAATTAATAAAAAAAGCCGACGAGTACATATACCACCATTAAATACGTATTATATTTATATCCAGCAGTGAGGGGAGGAGGGGGCGCAAAATGCAAACGACATCGACGCATGCGTACATGCGCACACACACACGTACATTTAAACAAATCATATGAATTACTATTGATAAAATGTTCAATGATATACATACAACAACCAAATCAAATGAAAATTATTATTATTATTATTATTATTATTAAACCAAGAAATAATAATAATCATAATCATAATCATTTTGTTTTACTGAAAAAGAATAATGTACAAGAGAAAAAAATCAATATGAAAGTGTTTATACACTACTACTACTGCAGTTGCATTAAGCAACACGATAAAGTAATAAAAACAATCTTTATTTTAAATCTAAATCTAAATCTAAACCTAAAGAAAAAAAACCACAGCCATTGCCATTGTTGTAATAACAAAAACATTGTACTTTATTGATCATTTTTGACAAATTATGCATTGAAAAATATGTAACAATTTAAAATTCATTTTTTTTTAAAAAAAAAATTGTTACAAATGTATCGATTTCATCACTTTGTGGAGAAGAAAAAAAGAGACTAAACAGAAGCACAAAAATATTATTGTTGTTGTTGTTGTTGAATATCAACTTGAAAATATGTGACCAGTGGAGTTCAACCTGGTGTAGACAGCAACTACCGAAGATAAATAAGTGGGATCGCGCAAAATCTCGTTAGATG